ATTTTTACTCATTAAAAAATGTTGTCTAGTCAAATATACATGTATTTTTATTTTTGGTTATTATTGCCAAGTAAAATATAAGTTGGTTACAAATTTTAATATTGAGGATGCAAAGCTTAAGTAATATTTAAGATAATAGGATTAAGATTTTTATTTTAAAGTATCCGTATTTTAGATTTTTAAGATATAATATTTAAGAGGTTAGTAATATTTATCAATTAAATTTGTAAAAAAAATTAGGTAAAAAATATTAAAATTGTATCATTTTAATAAAGTAACATGAGAAAAAAAATTAAAATATTGTAATTTTAAAGTATTTTACCACCTAAATTTTTTTTGTAAATACCACTAATAAGCATTTTTTTTTCAATTTTTAAGGTTTAGAATTTAAAATTTAGAGATTTTGTATTTAATAATTTTAAAATTAGAAATCAATATAAGCCTAAAAATAGAAATAAAAATTTATTGAATTAAAGTGTAAAAAATATAAAATCTATTGGGAGAAATTTTGTATTTAATAATTTTAAAATTAGAAATCAATATAAGCCTAAAAATAAAAATAAAAATTTATTGAATTAAAATGTAAAAAATATATAATCTATTGGGGTTCATCGGCCTTGGGGGACGGACGGGTCCCTATAGCATTTTATCCATTAAGAAAGAAAGGCAACCTCTTTTCCTTTTATTGAATAAAAAATAGGAAAGGCCACCTCTTTTCCTTTTATTGAAGAAGTAGTTTTGAAAGCCACATGGAGTCTTCTGCTCTATACAAAATTATTATATTTTCATTGACCCAACCAAGACTTGCCCAACAAGAAGAACAATAAAAAAAAGACTAACAAAGACCCAAAATCCCATAAAAAAAGCAAAACATGCAAATTAATCCCTTAACTTTTCAGGTGGTGGCAGATTACCCCTCAAGTCAATTTGAAACCAAAAGAGAAACCAAGACTCAAAACTCCACCTTGAGAGCTGTAAGCTGTTGGGAATTTGGTACAATCCACGACTTTGCAACCCTTGCAAGTATTCAATGTTCATGCCCGCATGCACGGACCATTTTTTTTTTTTTTTTTGGTACAAAACAGGAAAGTGCAGGGGAAAATTCATATGCCCTTTTTAGATTCCAACAACCACAAGTCCAAGTTGGCCGTCTCCCTTTTTCATAAATTTAGTTCAGTTCTTTTTTCTATTTTTTATATTCTTGGTAATTGTCTTTTTAAAAAAAAACTTTCTTTTATTTTTTTTTCTCAAGAGTTAACATACAATTACTACATTTTTTTAAGAATAAATTTGGGCATGGCTTTTTATTAATAAAAGAGGTAAAGTTATTACAAGATAATCTCCACCTCCATTGAGGTAATTTGGCGCCTAGAAGTTTTCATTTGCTACGACTAGTATCTTTGAGTTTGATATAAAGTAAAGTGAACATTAATCTACTAGAAAGAGAGACAACAAAAATTAAAAATCCAAATATGGCTCTAGCTATCTCTCCTACCTCTCAAGCGTCAGCTACATTATCACAGTTCACTCGATACCATAGTAATGCCATAATATAAGAATTAGGACCCATCCTACTATCTTTTCAAAATTGTGTAACAACGTCCATTTCAAAGAAAATTTTGAAAAAAACATCTTGAATCAATCTCCTCTCTATTTTACCATGATATGATCCTTAAGCACTAACATAAACATCTTTAATGTTTCAAAACCTCCATTTTCTACAAAGAACCAATTGCACTAAAAAGCCCTCTATAATGGAGATCATCCTTGATAGTGCTTGTAAACCTCATAAATCTCATATTTAGTTTTAATACCCTATACATCCAAAGAAACATGACACATTCCTATGCTTAAACCACCTCCACACAAGATCTCACATAAGACCTCAATCAATCTCGACCAAAAAATCCACCACCATCCTAACCTTTCAAAGTGACAAAGGTACTAAGCCATCCCCTCCAATCCTTCCATTATTGCTCTATTGTTGCCCACCATGGTTGTGATCCAACATTAAAGCCCACTACTGTCGCCACATTAATCAAAACAAACCAAGAACTTGACAATTTCTTTGTAGTTTTGTCTACCATAGGTTAGGAGATTGCCATGCAATTCATCCCTCATGGCAATAGTGAAGGCCTGTTCATAAGTATAAGTTACATCTTGTATGGGGTTCTTGTTGTGTTGTTGGCATACTGGTGCCTTTATATCTAAGCAATTTTTGGCTTACAAACCCAACACCTTATTTTTCCTCATTTGGTTTTTTTTTTTCTTGTTTAATCAATAATTGAGGAATAAGTATATATCAAGGAAGAAAAAAAGGATTAGGGATTCTTTCTCGATGTAAAGAATAAGTTTCTTCTTTTTTAGGTCTTTGTCATTTATTATGCTTATAGATTGCTGCTTATTTGGATTTGCTTGATACCCACATGTCATGCTTAGCGCATACAAGACATCAATCCTTATACAAAGCATAGTATACATGATAGATCTTATAGCAAATGCTTACGAGATCTTACTCATCTTTACTCTCTCATCTTGTATTTATGGACACATCTTCTTAGAGAGATTTACACCAAATGACACAAGTAGCAATCCTCTTTTGGATTGGTCACAAGTAGAATACACTCTTAATGTATGTGCTTTCACTTAGTCCTAGCAACCTTTTAACTCTATCTTCATAAATCCTTATCCCTAAGATATAAGCTACTTCAGCTAAGTTTTTCATGGAAAAGCACTTGTTTAGCCAAATCTTTATAGACTCTAAGGCAAGTATTTGGTTTCTTATATATAGTATGTCATCAACATACAATACTTGAAAAACCAATGCACTCTACTGACCTTCTTGTAAACATAAGGCTTAATTTCATTCTTGATAAAGCCAAACTCCCTAATTGCTTCATTAAAATGAAGATTCCAACTTCTTGATGCTTGTAGAAGTCTGTAAATAGACCTTTGCAATTTGTATACTTTCTTGGCGTCTTTTGGTGCCACAAAACCATCTAGTTGTGTCATGTAGACATCCTCAATCAGATTCCTATTAAGGAATGCGATTTTAACATCTATTTGCCGAATCTCATAATCATAGTATGTGACTATGGCAAAAAAAAATCCTAATGGATTTAAGCATGGCTAGTGGTGAAAAAGTTTCATCATAGCCTATGCCTTAATGTTGCTTGAAACCACTAGCAACTAGCCTTGCTTTGCAGGTATATACTTTACCATACATCTTTTTCTTGAACACCTATTTGCAATCTATTGGTTCAACATCCCATAGCTAGCTTCTTTCCATCCCTCAAAGTCTGAGCTTGAAACTACTTTTTTGATAAAAGACATGTCATTCTTTATCACGGACTCAAATTGTTATCTTTACATATTAGCCCATTATCATACATACATAATAAATGATATGCAAACTACCATTATATGGTTATGAGCCTCTAAGTTAGTTGACCAAGCGGATGGTAACTATTAGAGAGTGCCATTGAGTTAACTCCATTTGTGTAACACACCTCCCCTAGGTACCCTTAGTCCTAGATGAGTCTTGAAATAGGAACTATAATACAAAAAAATGCAGCAGAAATAGAAACATAAAATGTTTCCTTAAAAGGAAACGTACATTCAAATCAAATTAAAATTTTACAGAAAGAAAATCAATTACTTGTAAAGGAAAACTATTTTAACCCAAAAATATCTTAAGAAAATGTCAAAATACTTAGTTATAAAATAAGCTAGGCTAAGCTCATTTTAGTTAATTTAAATCTTATATACATAAAAGTAATTTACATAAAAATTATATGAGGGCAAATTCTTCTCCAAAGTTTTTCAAAATAACAAAAGCTGAATCGTCGTTTTGGTAACACATTGATCTGCCTCCATATTAAAAGCACGAGGTCCTAGCTTCTACGTACAATGAGCATATGGGACCCCTACTGAAGCTCGTAAGCTCATAAGCTCATAAGTTAGTAATTGCTACTCCAATCTACAAATCTGAAATGAGGGGAAATATTCTAAGCTAAAAGCCTAGTAAGTAATAAGTTAAAGTTACAAACTTGGGTCCTAAGATCCTTAGACCTATACACATGAAGGGCATGAGAGACAATGGAACCAAGCCATATAATATTATAAACTTTGGTATTTAAATAATAATTTAATATCCCAAATTATAATCAAACATGTCAAGAAATAACCAATGACATTTAAATCAAATTTATATCATAAAATCATATGCTCACACATACGATGTCACAAGCATAATGCATAAAATAGAAATCACACAATGTTGTGGAGTCCACTGATGTGTGCTAGTAACACTTATACTGGAGTTAATCACAACACTCACCCTACTACGCAGAGGTCCACTAAATACTTTGGAAGGTCCATTGAATACCCCAACCTTTAAGCTTAGGTCCACTTACTCCAAAGTCACAAACACATACACATGTCAAACAAATTCAAACTCATCCAAAATAATATAGAACTATTATTTCATTTAATATTCTACTTTGTTAGTGCATTCTAAAAAGATTCATATTAAAATCCACATGCATAACTCACATATTTCACAAGATTTCCTACTCAAAATA